TAGGAAATCTAAGGTTTTGTTGTAACATTTATTCCATAATTAATCACGAAAAAATAATTTAACAAAAAGCTACCGTTCTAAAGTTATTCCACTATTTGTGTTACACGTAAACAGCCTAATATGCGCGCCGTACGGCGTACTAGGCCGTCGACGAAGCCCCGAGCGACCGCGCTGACGCAGGTGTCGTGGTACCGCGCGCTTATGTTACTACTGAACTTAATAATGTTTCATTTTAATAAACGACCACACGACTCTGTTTAGATTATGTTATTTAACTGAATTGATATGCTTATAATTAAAATAGCATAGCTACAATGATTAATTATGTCAATTTTTTGAATAGGTAAATACTAATAATAACTCAACCAAAAACCAATACTTCGGTAGTTAGTAGTACTAGTACTAGGTGGTAGGTTGGTAGTTACTTAGGTATTTATCATTTACAAGTATTCATCGGAATAAATGCCCGTCTCTAGATACCTAAGTATTAACAAAGAGTCTACCTTATTTACAGAAGATGCTGGAACTTGGAAGTGTCTTCCACTTTGTTCGATGCACAAGTTTGTACGACGCGACGTATTACGTTGTTTTTCACTCGCAATAATGTGTCTCTGTCACTTTTAATAATATCAAACGCGTTTATTATGCTTATTTTTAATTCGTCCGCGTTTCTAATCTCACTACCACTGACGAGCTGCAGATACATTTTCGCCACTTCTAATGTACCACATTAACATGTCTAAGTACTTGCGGTTACTATGCGTAAACTGCATTATTGAATATTGAACAACAAACAATAAAAAATGGCGCGTGCGATTGATCGGACACAACACTGAGGGCCACACCCTTCCCGCGCGACAGCTATCGGTCAACTGGCGATCGAGAGAGAGAGAAGTGGGAAAGAGAGCGGGGCAACTAGCGAACGGGAGAGAGGGAGAAAGAGAGAGAGATTGCGATAACATGGGGACGGTGACGGCGCGCCATTGCTTCGCTCGGGCCGCAAGCGCAGCCCCACGTACGGTTTGCACAAAAACGTTTAACCAACTCCTTTATTTTTGTTAAAAATAAAAGTTGTTAAAATTGTTAATTTTTTTTTGCTAAACGTGTCAGTTTATTGATTCCCACCAACCTCATAAAATATTTAGAGCGAATTTATTAACACCTTATATAAAATCCATCAATAATGTGAACAGTTGTTTTTATTAACTATAAATAATTGATATTTAGAGTATATTTAAATATTTATGCACGTTTTCAGATTGCTTCTGATGGTGCATTATGCAAGACATGTTTTAATTCCTTTACTAATCCTTAGAGTACTAATAGTGGTACTGAAGTAATGCTGGATGATGTAAAACCCATAAGTGAAACATGTGAATCAAATACATGTGTATGGTGCCTTCTATCACTCACAACAAAGAGGACACATTGTTTACCAAGGGGCCACTGAGAGATGCAATATCCAATGTAATTGCCCCAAGAGAGGTAACTAATAAATAGCTTACTTTGCTTTTGTTATTAGCATTTAACTCGTCGAGTACCGGTTTTGTAGACACAATTATAGAACAATAGGTTGCGGTCACCGGTGACCGCTTGGTGTTTGACAGTTTAAACAACAATTTATAATATCACTGACTGCTAACATGACAATGATTTCCAGATACCAGATGGTAGCATTGTTTGTCATCGATGTTAGGTGCCTGCCTGCAGACTGGTAAATGTATCAGGACCAAATTCTGGCCAATCGCAACACACGTGTGTATGGTGTAGACATTCTCTCTCTCGGAGATGATCTCACACAATTCCTCAAGGTCCTGAAAGAGATGAAATCACAGCAAGGATAGCTCCACGACAGGTCTCTTAGTACTACATTATTATAATACGCCTCAATTATTATGTATTGTATGTAATATGTTTATGTACGTTCAGATTATAGTTATCCTATAATAAAGTCATTACATTATGACAATAAAAATAAATAAATACAAATTAATATATGTATTATGTATTTTTAGATACTGCCTGGAGACAGAGTGTGTTATGCATGTTGGGTATCTGCTAGAAGAAACGTACTACAGACAACTAATCTTCACCGAAATAGGAATGTTTGTGTTGTATGTTCTACTTCAACAGTAAGACGTCGCACACGTTTATTAATGAATAGTCCAGAAAAAGACGTAATTTCCAGAAGAATATACCCTAGACCGGTCTGTGAAATATTTAACTGTACATCTTTGAAATAGGTATCTATCTGTGAATGTATGAGTTTATTCTGTTGTTTTTACAGGTCAGTGGTCATTAATTAGTAGGTATGTAATGAATGTTAGATTTGGGCTCAAAATGCTGTTCAACTGGAAACTGAACAGCTTGTCGCTGACCTTGAACCCAAGAGAGAAGAATCTTCACAGGATTTGGATATGCCTCGTCACATACAATTAATTTTTTTTATTTTTTTATTTAAAAAACGTTGACCCACGCTAGGATTGTTTCCTGTGTCGTGGGTGCGTTTACAAACATACAATATCACATACACATGACACCCAGACCCGGAACAACAGTCTGTGGATCACACAAAGAGTTGTTCCGTGCGGGAATCGAACCCGCGACACGTTGCGCGACAGCCAGTTGCCCAGCCACCGCATCAACCGTGCAGTCAATTCCTACAAAAAATTTGGAATGTCCAGTTCTAGTTGTTATGTACCAGGTTGTACAAACTCAAAACGACACATAGTGCCTGGGTACTTAAGAAAAAATGGATTTTAAGGTATTATAAAATATATATTACCGAAAATGCAAGGGTTTGTCTAATAGCAAATAGTAAAATACCTAAACCAGCCCTCAGGTTATATTTTGTAAAAGCTGGAATGAGTGACTCGCACAAATGACTGGCTACATTATTTAGAATTGGGTAAGCGACAGTCACTCGTATGCTTAAGAAAGCCAGGGGGAAGCCTTATTGGCACAATATTATGTCATTTAGGTTTACAATATATAAGCTATAATATTTCTTGATGATGTATTGAAGAGGTGAATAAACATTTAAAATCAGATTTGTTCTTTTATTTGTATTTTTGTAGGTATTCTACGTTCCTGTGGTTCCAAATGTGTTTTAAATGCTTGAGAAATTGAGAAGCCATTAGTTTTGGTTGAGATTGAAGATCTTTGGCAACTCTTGTTATTGATAGATAAAAGTTAGTAATTCTGCTACCAGTCTTGCCAAGGAGTACCATGTTACCCAGTTTTTTATGGCCTATGGATATATGGCACAAGTAGATAAATCACCTGATATCAAGCAATCTGTACGGCGTCGCTCATAGACTGCAACAGCAGAGAAAATACGAGTGTCTCAGTTACTGGGTTGTGAAAATGATGACAGTTACTTCATAAAACAGGAACCTACTTCATATAAAATAGGAAAAACATGTTGCTATTCCATGCAGTGGCTTATTTTTCACCTTCCCTATTATGTACTTAAAACTACCCAGAACGGCGTAGTATGTAGTAAGTAGTAGTCAGTTGTCAAGGTCAAATGTCAGTGCAAACATCTCCGACAATTTAATTTATAATGACGGTTTGTGCAGTTAATGGCGCACAACCGCACAACGCATCAGAAAACATTAAAAAGGCTTCGAAAATAACATGTCATACGAAAGTTCTATGATTTGGATTGTATTTTGTTAATTATGAACTAGTTTTGAAAGTAAATTTCTAGGGCTCAAAAATAGGTAAGTATTACCAGTAATACGCAAATTATTTCCCCGTTATCGATGATATTTGAATGGTTTCAATTGATTTTAAAAATAAAATATTGCGTGAGTTCGTTGCGTTGAAAATATATAATTAAATCGCAACAAAAGTTGTTGGAAACATTTGTTAAGAGATGTTTTCCTTGATATTGAATAATTTATTATATACTCATGATATTATAAATTTCCGTCCTTTTTAGCGCCTAACCACGGTAATGATAACTTAGAAAGTAATCGAAAACATTAAACAGGTTAGTGGAAAATTTCCCCACTTTAGGGGAGATCGCTCCTTCACTGCACACACTACATGATGTAAATGCTTTGTATGATTGCGTGTCGGCTAAACCTAAGCGTTTACAGCTCACGCCTACATTAATCTGTTTTATGCCTCACGTTCACGTTAGACGACGCGTTTGAATGAAGACTATCCATCTAGGCGTTATTAGTTTATGGTTTTAACATGAACCACGATGCGCAAAACTGTGGATGACAGTTGATGACATTCAAACAACATGTCAAGTGAAATTGACAAGCTGATACTGACAAGTAGGTAACCATACAAAAATACTAAACGTAATGTCACAAAGGAGGTGATTTCAAAATAAACAAAATATTTTCTTATCTTTACATAAATTAATAAGTGCATTATGGATGACGAGGACACACTGCCTTTAAAGCGAGTGGAGTTCTCCCTAACAAAGTTCAACGAGGTAGCAATTCCTCATCATTTGGATTTACTGCGACAGCATAAGGCGAATATTATCAAGGTAACGTGCGTCGTACTCTATTTCTATACCCTTTGTTTAGCTGGAACAGCTCGGCTGCCCGTGCCATCGGTTTGCGTAACTAACACTGTACTAATGCGTGCTGCACATGTTACAAGTATTCAGGTTCCAATCAATAAGTCAATAAAATTAAGTGTTACGCGTTCTTCTGTGTATATTATTGAGATCTACAAAAATGAAAATTAATTGAAGCAATTCCAACTATACAGTTTCATTGGAAATAGTATTTTTATCAGTTAACCTTTATAAAATAATAGTATCAGTTGCATTAGGTATCATAATAACAATTCAACATAGTTTAACTCGTCGAGTACCGTCATTATAGACATAATTATAGAACAATAGGTTGCGGTCACTGGTGTAAATAGAATAATATTTTAGTTTTATTTCACATAAACACACTATATTCATCAAGTACTACTACTGTACTTTGTAATTATGGTAGTAAATAGGTCAGGTATGTACATAAACAATAATATAATACATAAATAAAATAAAACAATTGTTGGTGTTGGCAGAGGCTGTATGATTCTCGTTTTATTTTTTATTGATATCTCAATACACCAGAAATTTCTTCTTTACCACAGGTGCAGACAATTCCCAGATCTATGCAAGTGTAAATTACATAGATAGGATCAGAGTGTTAGTTTTTGGTTAATTTAGTTTCTGGAACAACCACTTCATTGTTTTTATGTGATATTCAAATTATTGTCGGAGACGTGTCTACAAATATGTGACATGCTTATCAACATAATGAATACCAGACAAATGTTTAGAGTTGAGTATATTTGGACCTAGTTTGGCTGAAGTCAGCTAAGTGGCACTTTTTCTTAAATAGAGTTATTAAGACAGCCATACTAAATTCGACATGCTGTATTTTTTTGCAAAGACAGCCATCTCAAAATCACTTTTTATGGCTGAGATATGATCCCTCAAATGCAGCCATTCAACAAAAAATATTTTATATAAAACAGTCATCATGTTGTAAAATGCAGTCAATATTGACGCAAACTGTAACGCCGCCTATAAGTCTGCTATATAGCTGTTTCATACAAACTAAGAGGATAAGTTTCGAGTTTTATAAAATGAAGCCAGTGTATGTTGGCTGTTTTCTGTATATTATACAGGGTTGACTTGTAAATCGACATATTCCTGAAACAGCTGAAGAAATAAGACGCTCATTCAGTTCAAGGCTGTTTTTGTAGGAAATTAGATGTATTATCATCTCCTGATAGGAACACTATACAGGGTGACTCGACAGTCAACCTGTGTAATATACAGAAAACTACCAACATACACTGGCTGCATTTTACAAAACTCGATTTGTGTTACACATTCATACTTGGCTTTTTTTTACGTCATCATTATCACATATTTATGCAAATAGGGATGATTTTGAAACTTCTTTATTAATATTAGCGTATGACGTCTCTGAGCGTGGCCATATAACGTTTACTTCTTTAGTTACATCTCACATGCTTCTTTCTTATTGTTTACTTAGATTCAGGTAATTTTGGATCCGCGCGACTACTTTACTGTTATAGGTTTTGTTATTGTTTATTATCTGGTCTGTCTTTTATATACAGATATTCTATTTTGAATTAATGCAGAATAAATGAAATAAACAAACAAACACATGTTGTTTTAGTATTAATTAATCAAATATTTGAAATATTTGATTAATTAATACTAAAACAACATGTGAATGCTGGAATCGATCCGGTGGCACTTTACTTGACCACTGGAGGCGATAACCATTGCGCCAAGCGCGCCGTAGATGAGAACATCGAAATATTGTATATCATTCAGTAACATAAAAATACAATGAGAATGCACTATATTTATATAAGTATTGTATTGCTCGATCGTTCATTATTTTTGATTTCGATTTATTCAAAGTTTGTTATGAGTATTTTTATCTTTACCCTCGTTTTTATTTAAACTTATTTACTAAAATATTACGTATACCGACACAAAAATGATATGTAATACCAAGATGTGTGTGATAGAACGAATGTTTCTATACATATCTATTAATATGAAATTACCCACACATGTTCACTGTGTAAATGATAGTAATGTCGATGTGTAGCGCCTCGAACTAATTAGCGGTGCTTTGTGTACATAC